AAACCCATTGAAACAATGGTTTCGGTTAACGAACGTTTCGGTTAACGAACGACCTTCTGGAACGGATTGAGTTCGTTAACCGAGGGGCCACTGTACTGTATTAATCTACACCACGAAGATGCCGGAAAACCAGCTTTTTAAAGTGAGACAGATTGTAAGAGCATGGAAACACAGAAGAAGGCAAAGCATTCCACAGTTTGGCTGTGTGAGGAAAGAAGGAGGTACTAAAACGGGTTATTCTCGTGTGACCGACATCCACAGAGAAACCGTGGGCACCGCGGGCAAGACGTGTGTTACGAGCCCACGGCCCTGCCGGCGATACACAGGATGCCAAATCCACTAAACATTGCCCGTTAAAGTACCTGTGGAAGAGAGAGAGTGAAGCAACATTGCGGCGAAGAGAAAGGGAAGAGAGATTGGCGACTAAAGGAGGAGAGTTAATAGGACGAAATGCCACCCCAGATATAAGAGCAGTACTCCAAGTTAGGACGAATGAATCCCTTATATATTTGGAGCAACTGCTCAGGAGTGAAGTAGCTGCGGCATCTGTACAGCATTCCCAACTTTCGGGAGGCAGCTTTAGTTATACTAAGGATATGTGATTTGCCAGACACATTGGAGGAAATGGTGAGGCCTAACATAATTTTTTCAGAATTTGGGAGGATGATAGCATCCTGAAATGTAATTGGTGGGAGATTGTCTAATTTACAAAGTGTAATTGGTAAATACAGTGGTCCCTCGGTTAACGAGCACAATCCGTTCCAGCAGGTTGCTCGTTAACCGAAAAACTCGTTAACTGAAACCATTGTTTCAATGGGTTTTTGGGTAATTGGTTCCAGCTCACCGAAAATTACCTAAATTCAACAAAAAAGGTAGAAAAGTACACTTACTTTGAGGTGTGTATGTAGAAGGCTCCTGGATGATGATGATGATGATGATGGGAATTAGAATGAGGGTGGAGGAGAAGGGAGAAGAGAAGGCATTGGGGTGGAAGAGAAGTCACCCCATGGCACCATTTCACCCATAAAATTTTAGTTCTCTTGGTGTAATTCAAGATTATTTTCTTTAAATCAACACTGCACTGCATTATATATTGTCAATATGTGAAATAATTTTCAAAATGACCAATAATTTGCTTGGAAACACAGAAAAAAGCATTTATTTGAAGAGAGTCTCAAGCAAGATGTTACCTCCACTGAAAACAGAGAGAGACTAACGCCTGTCTGGTGTGTCAACAGGCTGGATGGCATGCCAGAAACTAGTTTCTTTACCTTCAATTATGTTCAATAATTGTTAAAATGACTAAAAAAGTTAATATTAAACTTTTAAAATTATTGAATAGTGTAAACTTCTTGATATTTACTAAAATAGTAAGGAATTTAAGCCCTAAAACCAATTACTGTATTGGTGGACTAATACTTCAGCTGGTGGACTGCCAAATGCAAGCGAAAACATGTTGAAGTCAGCTCGTAAAAAACTCATTAATTGAGGGATTGCTCGTTAACCGAAGTTAAGAATCTTATGGAAGGTAAATCGTTAACCGAGGTGCTCGTTAACCGAGGGATCACTGTATTGAGTTTTATTACTATTGAACTTAACCAAGTTTGTACCTCCCCATTCAGAGATGCTTCACAGATCCACATTGATAGAAGTAATGGTATTAGTTCTAGAAACAGATCTAGTTTGAGAGTTAGGAGGAAGGGGAAAATGTGAGGAAGAGTGAAGAGTAGAATCATCAGCGTTTGAATGGATAGAATTAGTTGTAGAGTGAAGTAAATCATTGATAAAAAGAAGGAAGAGAGTTGGTGAAAGAACAGACCCCTGTGGGACGCCACTACTGGTAGAGAAAGAGCGAGAAATCGACCTCTCGACAACAACTGCCATGGATCGGTTCTCAAGGAAGCTAGAGATGAGAAAACAAAGTGGGGAAGAGAAGCCAAAAGAGGGAAGTTTAGATAGCCAAGACTTGTGCCATACCCTGTCAAATGCTTTGGAGATGTCGAGAGCCACAACAAAGGTTTCCCCATAACCCCTAAGAGAGGATGACCAAAGATGGGTGCAATAGGAGAGCAGATCACCAGTAGATCTCGCCTGGCGAAAGCCATACTGGTGATCCGACAAAAGAGAAAGGCGTTCAAGGTGATGGAGAAAATGGGAGTTCAAGATAGTTTCGAAAATCTTAGAGAGGGATGAAGTTAGGGCAATGGGGCGATAGTTAGAGGGATTAGAATGGTCACCCTTCTTTGGGATGGGCTGAACCAAGGAATGCTTCCAAGAAGAAGGAAAAGTTTGGGTTTTGAGGCAAAGGCGAAAGAGGCAAGCAAGCACAGGGGCCAGGGCTTCAGCACACTCCCTCAGAACACGAGGGGGTATTCCGTCCGGTCCATGCGCCTCACTCACATCCAACCTGGATAACATACTGGCAACCCTGCAAGTGGAGATTATAGGAAAGTGCATAGGTTCAGTAGGGGGTGCAGGGGTAGGAGGGATAGAGTGGGAATCGTCTAAGGTGGAATGAGAGGAGAATAAGGTGCCAAAGAGGTTGGCCTTGTCAGGGGGAGAGTTGGCTCTAGAGTTATTGGGACGGAAGAGGGGAGGAAAAGAAGGCGTGCAGAAGTTGTTACAGATGTTTTTAGTTAAAGACCAGAAGGATTTACTAGAGGAAGAATTAGTCAGGACAGCGGTCTTTCTTTTCATAAAATTCCTCTTGGCCCTATGAAGAATAGCCTTGCAACGATTCCTAGAAGTAATGAAAGAGGTATGGGTAATAGGAGAAGGATATAGTTTCATAGCTCGATATGCCCAATCTTTCACCCTGCAAGCAAGAGAGCAGGAGCGATCAAACCATGATTGTAATGTGAAAGTTTTGGTAGAAGATGGGATAAATGCACTCATGCTGCCCTGTATAACCCCAGCAATGCTGTCAGCACATACCGAGGCATCCCGAGTGGAAAAGCAACATTCATCCCAAGGAAAGTCGGTGAAGAATTCTCGCAAGGATTGCCAGCTTGCCCTCCGATAGTGTGAATCTGGCGTCTTGCTACAAATTATGTCTAGGGTTATACCTAGTACAGCATTTCTCAAAAGCTAGGGTAAATTATGTCAAAAACTCCGGCTTTTTTACCAAAAAACCTGGGGTCGAATTATATATGAGATCAGTTTATACACGAGTACTATATACAGTAAAATCCCCATTAGCCGGAATAATTGTTGCAGAGGTCTTCCGGGTTTGAGAGATTTCTAGATAACAAAACGACTCTCTCAAACCTGGAAAAAATCCCACATCCCCGGAATAATTTTGGGTAATGGAGATAGTTTCCGAGAGTCTAAACTTCACATTTTTCACAGACAGATGCTATCGCACATCCACATGGTGTTCTGGATGCTGAGGAAAGTTTTCTGAGAGTTTAAAGAATGCTTCTCATCTCAACTCTAAACTGCGCATGTCATAATCTCATCTCACAAGGAAAAACACTCTTCCATTATTGTACATTTAGACTGCGGATACGAGTGAAAATATATACGGCTAGCAAAAAATTTATGAACTTTTACTCGCAGTATCTCTTCTAATTTTGTTAGAGAGATGAATTTGATACCATGATGATCCTAAGTAATTCTTTACAACATATTTTCAATAAAAAATCCTAAAACAAAATGTTTTTGACACGATTTAATTATGGGGACTCCATTATTTTGTGTAAAAATTAAAGAAATGTTGAGGAGTCAAAAAAATCAGTTCTAATTTACTTAGAAACACTATTTTCTTACCCAAATTCTCCTTAATAATTTATCTAAAAGTTTGGTAAAATTAATATTTTTAAAAGATTACATATGGGCATTAGAGGTGTGAATGGAGTTGTGTATCACAGCCAAGACTGGACTTTTCCACCTTGCTCTGGGAAAATTTTCCAGAGTCTAAACGATGCATCTTGCATGGAGCTGTATGTCTACAGTATGCATACAATGTCCACTCTGCTTACTATAATACATAATGGTACTGTATTCACTTTTTGTGTCTTAACACTTGTGATGGAGGTGGGTAAGTGGATTAGTGGTCTTTATGTTACTGACCTTCTGATGTAATGTCAGGATGTGGGATTCCTGTGTCTCTTGATCTGAAGAATGATGTCTTGAATAAGATGATAGCTAAGTATACATAACTGTAATCACTTTTTATGTCTAAACATTATATTCTTGGCTTGAACAATGACAGAGGACTATGAACTAATTGCATCATGATGTTAGACTTAGAGGGGATAAGCTGGAAGATACATCAGCTTATTACAGGCATCCCATGTAGCCAAATGACAGCATTAGCCAATTACAGCACACGAGCCTAGGCTCAAGTTACCCAAGGCGTCTTCCCACCAATGCACCCAGCACGTGAGGACACTACTGGGCGTGATGCAATCTTTCGTCAATCTCAAAACCTTTGTCTCCAGGCCTGCAGCAGAAAGGTTTTGTTTTTCTGGAATTGCGGATTATTTCATCCTCAGAATTTGTTTCCAGACCGGGAAAATATGTTATAAGAGATTATCCAAATTTTCTCAGAACTTTTTTAGAAATGTGGCTGATTTTCAACCTCGGAACCTGTTCGCAAACCTGGTATTGAAAATAAAATTCTGGAAGAATTCCTGGCCGATTTCAATCCTGGTTATTGGAGAGTTCTGGAGACTGCCGATTCTGGCTAATGGGGAGATTACTGGTACTGTATTGCTATTCACTGGACGGACAGTAAATTATTAAATTTAATCAGTATCAAGAATGCTAAAATACAGTACATAACTAATGAGGTAGGAGGAATTTGACCTCAAACCCTCAAACCAGGGTATTGCCCATGAACCACCAGGGGTCTGGGCAGATCTCCAGCCCTTTCTATTAATTTCTTTGTTTCTTTAGTCTGTTGTGAAGTAGTTTATTGAGAACCCTGCACCCTGATATTTTAGCTTCCTTTTTGTTTGAAAATACTGTACATTCTGAATGTATCATCTTACCTACAGGCTGTGGCTGTGAATACAGTGCATTTGGCTGCTGTCCGGACAATGAAACAGTGGCACGAGGAAAAGACGATGCTGGATGTGGATGTCAGTATACTGAATATGGTTGTTGCCCTGACGACCACACTCCTGCAGCTGGGGAGGACTACAGTGGGTGCCCATGTAATACATACCCCTATGGCTGTTGCCCAGATGGTGTGAGTATCGCACGAGGATTGAATGCAGTAGGTGAGTTGTCTTTTTGTGTAAAATGAAGTTATTTTTAGGATATCTGTTTTTATTGGTTGCTAATCACCATTAAGGCAGTTCAGTGTTAAGAATGGTTTAGTTTCATTTAAACAGTATTTTAGTGTTGATGAGGCATACAGAACTTCCAACTTCATGCCATGTATTTGAGGGCACAATACCCTGCCAGTACACAAGAAAATTGATACATGTTGTCACTCTTGTAATTACTTTTATAAACACATTTAATTGTTTCTAAATGTTTTAGGTTGTGGGTGTGAATACGGAGAATTTGGGTGTTGTGAGGATGGACGCACACCTGCCACTGGTCCTGGGAAGGAAGGGTGTGGCTGTGAAGCATCAGAGTTTGGCTGTTGTCCAGATGGTGTCACACCTGCAACTGGTAAATTCTTTGATGGCTGCCAGGATGAAGCTCCTGTTATACCTGGAGGTGAGAATTATTTAGTTACAGCTGTTGAGGAGGAAGTCATGGAATGTCATTTATCCCTATTATAGTTTTTGTCCTTTTTATCATCCACTCTGACTAACTGCCACATTATCAAACAGTACACTTTCTTCAATTGTATTTTTCAGTCATGTATGTTTCCATACTTTCATCTTTGTATTATTTTTTTTTTCATTATCTATACTATACAGTGAACCCTCGGATTTTGGAAAATTTGGACCAAAAACAGGGTGAAGGTAGTTTAAGGCTTAAAGTTTTTATCATATAAAATGTCACAGACTAAACTTGGCAGTATATAACTTGCACATAGTTTGCACAAGAGAAAATTTTTTTAGCCCTTTAGTGTAGTACATTTGAGTACAAAGTTAGTACAGTAATATGTTGCTCAAAATTGTGGCTTTTTCACAAGAAAAACTCTGTATAACTAACCCCAGTGGTTTAGGATAATATGTACAGTGACCCCTCGGTTAACGAACTCAATCCGTTCCAGAAGGTCGTTCGTTAACCGAAAAGTTCGTTAACCGAAACCATTGTTTCAATGGGTTTTGGGTAATTGGTTCCAGCTCACCGAAAATTTCCTAAATTCAACAAAAATGGTAGAACTGTTCACTCACTTTGAGGTGTGTATGTAGAAGGCTCCTGGATGATGATGATGATGATGGGATTTAGAATGGGGGTGGAGGAGAAGGAAGAAGAGAAGGCATTGGGGTGGATGAGAAGTCACCCCATGGCGTCATTTCACCCATAAAATTTTAGCTCTCTTGGTGTAATTCAAGATTATTTTCTTTAAATCAACACTGCACTGCATTATATATTGTCAATATGTAAAATATATTTCAAAATGACCAATAATTTGCTTGGAAACACAGAAAAAAAGCGTTTAGTTGAAGAGAGTCAAGCAAGATGTTACCTCCAGTGAAAACAGAGAAACTAACACCTGTTTGCTGTGTTAAGAGGCTGGATGCCGCGCATTAAACTAGTCACTTTACCTTCAATTATGTTCAATAATTGTTAAAATGACAAAAAAATTGAATATTAAACTTTTGAAATTATTGAATAGTATAAACTTCTTGATATTTACTAAAATAGTAAGTAATTTAAGCCCTAGAACCGATTAATGTATTGGCGGACTGATACTAAAGCTGGTTGCCCAGTCAGTGCAAGCGAAAACATGTTGAGGTCGGTTCGTAAGAAATTCGTTAACCGAATTGAAGATCCTTATGGAAGGCAGTTCGTTAACCGAAATTTCGTTAACCGAGGCGTTCGTTAAATGAGGGGTCACTGTATACAGTACTGTATTTTGGGTGTTTTTTATATAAATATTTATCATTTTTATACATTTAGTATATTTACCAGAAGATTTGGACAATAGGCTTTTCCAGACTGGTGGTCCCCCCTTTTAGTCCAGATCTTCGAGGGTTCGCTGTATTTCCTCCTTTTGCACTTGGTAAAACCATTCATTTGTCACATGCTTATATCCTAATTGTATTAGCTTCAAACATCCTTAGAAACACTACAGGTTGTACCTCTCTAGTCCGGCAACCTCGGGACCTGACCGGTGCCGGACCATGGAAATTGCCGGACCATGGAAATTCGCCTTTTTCCTGGATAGATAGTGACTTGTGCTTATGCTTGGAAGCACTAGCACCACTTTCTCTGCATCATGGTCTCTTTGAAGACATATTGAAGGGTTAAATGTCGTATAGTAGCTTCTCAAATTTCGCGAGTTTTTAATTCTTAACGTATTTTATTGGAACACACAAAAAAATAAATAAATAAAAATTTTGACGGCGGAAACTTGAATTTCGACGGGTTTCAACGGCCTGCCAACGTGCAGACGACGGGCATAATCGTGTAAACAGCGTCATTTCTCTTATGTACAAAAGATTCATTATTGTTTATTACTGAATGTCTTTTTTATTGAATTAATTTTTATGTGTGCAAAATGAGCAATACAATTCATTAATAATACGTAGAATATTAAAACACACGAGGAAATGACACAGCATTGTTTTCGTTGATTACAAAACCAGTGACTGACTGGTTCTACATATAAAACTGAAGAAAATAAGACCTTGGCTGTAGCTGTAGTAAAATTTATATGGTTGTTTTAAGTAATGTTATTTAATGTTAATAAATGGAAATAAATGGAACAATAGAAGTAGCTAACGATAATGGTAAAGAAAAAAGAGATCGCGTATGTAAGTGGGCATGCGAACACGTGAAAACATATCGTCATTACTTTACATAAGAATATGAAAGCAACACTTATTTACTGTTCATATATATTTTAATTTATGTTTCTGAATTTCTTTTTATTGAATTAATGTTTGTGTGTGCAAAATTAACAATACAATTTATTAATAATACGTGGAATATTAGAGGAGACGAGACGGCTGCCGGCATTGTTTATGTTAAAGCTTACAAAACCAGTGACTGATTGGTTCTACATATAAAACTGAAGAAAATAAGACCCTGATTTTAGCTGCAGTAAAATTAATGTAAAAAAATTAATATGGTTGTTTGAAGTACCTGTAATGTTATTTAATGTTAATAAATGGAACAATATAAGTAGCTAACCATTAATGGTAAAAAAAAAAGTGAGACTGCGCGTATGTAAGTGCGCACATGTGAAAACATATCGTCATTACTCTACATAAGAATATGAAAGCAACACTTATTTACTGCTCATATATATTGAAGGGTTAAATGTTGTACTCTGTATAGACAAGCAGAGAGAGAGAGAGAGAGAGAGCAGCCGAACTGCCGGATGTAAACAAACCTTAATTTCCCGCGGCTTTTTTTTTTTAAGGGGATTAGCCCACCCGGGCATAAGTCACTGACCCACGAGGGGCCTGAGGGGCAAAAATTTAATACTCCTGTAATAATAATAATAATTAAAATAAGTAAAAAATAAAAAAAATAAAAAAAAAAAAAGCTGCCTATCTACCTGTTGGACAAACTAAAATCGTTCCGGACCACGGGAGTTTCCGGACCACAGAATGCCGGACTAGAGAGGTACAACCTGTACTAGCATTTATTTTTGCTTCTCTCTTTTGATCAATGACACAGAACCTTATTATAATTATGTTTTACTTATTATTATTTTCTTCAGTTGGCGATACAAATCCCGCCCCTTGCACCTCATTGGCTCATTTTATATTGGCATATCGCAAATAAATAAATATATAACTGTATGTATGTACAGTAAAGATAAACTGCTTGAAAACATTAACTTTTCCAGGTTTGAGTAAAGAAAGGTTAGGAATAAAGAATAATTACCATCAAAATCACAAACAAATTCACACTTTTGAAGAAGGGGATTTTTTTCTAGCATAATATTGTTCGCTAAAAAAAATCTGTAGTTGGTTCATCATAATGATGCAGTAATAATAAAGGTGCATATTCAAGAATTTTGTATGGTACTAAAATGGATAATGCTTCAAAAAATTCAATTACAGTGGAGTTGAGGTTTAAGTGCATTTAGTTTAATCTCTCTGTTGATTTATTTCATAAATGCCTTAGTTGATCAATCTATTTTATTGTATCAATCCTATTTAGATGGAATAGATTGATACTGATTGATAAGTATATAAATATGTTCATGAAATCCACTAATTTTCAGAGGTGTGTGGCTACGAAAAAGATCGAGGTCCTTGTGCAGACTACATCGTAAAGTGGTATTTTGACATGGAGTATGGCGGCTGTACTCGCTTCTGGTATGGTGGATGTGATGGCAACCTTAACAAGTTTGAAACACAGAATGAGTGCATAGCTGCTTGTGTTGAACCTGAAGGAATGGGTAAGCATTCTGGTTACAAAATTTTTGTTGTTGCTGTTAAACATGTACTGCCCAGATTCTGATATGGGTTCACATTTTCTATTTTTTTTTTTAAGGCTCAGAACAGGTATGCATGGAACAGGTAAAGAATTGCATTTGTCAAATGAATTATTGATTATTAGTTTCAAAGTCATCATCAGCTTAGGTTTTCTAGTATTCTGTTCTCAGTAAACTAATGGCTTGTTGCATTTATAGGCTAACATTAGACATTGAAAATAGTTAACAACTAAACATTTTCATGATAATATAACTGTCAAATTTTGTGACAATAATTTGGTAATTATTATTGAGGAACCAGGCTTCCCATGGCAAAGGTAAAACTTTTATTAACCACTAACTTAGATTTTTTCTTGGTCACAAAAAGAGTTTGAAACTTGTAAAAAGAAGAAGTTAGGATTTTTTTTAAGGCTATTCTGTACAACATTATAATTAGTGACTAATTAAATCTGTCCTCCTCCAATTAGTGGTTTACTGTTTAGAGTGAAAAAACAGTTTTTGTTCATATTTATTAATATTTATTTTAGTAGATGTTGGTGTTTTATGTTTGTCATATTTTATTGTTTTTTCAAGTTGCTACTATGAAAACTATATACAGTACTATAAAAGTTTCCAACAGTGAATCCAAATTTGAATGTCATGGTTATTGAAGAGGGATTTGCCATATTATATGGCATTTAAGATGCACTTTTTTGTCTGAAAAATGGTTAAAAAAAATCAGCCTGCATCTTATATGTGAGGTTGCTTTCTCCAATTCTACCTAAGCCAACTCCAAAATTAAAAATATGTTTTTGCTTTCTTGAACACATTATTATTATTTTTAATAAATTAAAAAATAACTATTGTAACTATAAAAGCTCAATTTATAACTACAGTAGGCTCTCGCCAATAACGACTTCCACAATAACGTTTTCGACAATACTGTAATGGTAAGTTACAATAGATACCCATTTTCGATAATAACGTCTGGATTCTCTTCAATAACGGATATTTCGAATTTCGCGGGAAGCGTCCAAGCGCATCAATGATAGCGTTTGTTTGCCGCCATGTTGATGACGTAGTTGTCCGCTCCGCCTCACTCTCACACACGCTCCGTGGAATACAGCGCTGCGCCCACGTGTGAGATTTTCGCCTCCATAACCAGTGGTTGCGAGGGTCAGTGATCAATAATGGCTTCCGCAGTTTTGCCTGTGGGGGCTAGGGGAGGTGGTGGAGGGAGTGATTTGCTGCCTGAACTCCCAGGAACTTTTAAAGTGAATGAGAAAAAAGACCCCAAAGCTAAGAGACAAAGCCACAAGAAGCGTGCCTACTTGGTCAAGGATGAAGAACAGATTGTTAAGCTCATTGAAAGTGGTGCACAGAACATTGATATTGTGAGGATATTGAACTGTCCTGAGTCTACAGTGTGAAATATTAATAGGAATTTAGAGGAGACCAAGAAGAGTATTGTGCTGGCTAAGAAATATTTCGGTAGTGATCGAAATGCAAGGCGAGCTATGAATGATAAAAGTAATAGAAACAGGTTGTTAGCATTTTCTTGTGAAATGGTTAGCTTGTAGAATGAGAGACAGTGCAAGTGTTAGCTGCCCTCACATATGGAACAATCATCACACCAAGCACCTCAAAAATTCCCCCAAGCTAAGTGTTATATTACTCAAACTCTTTATTTTGATGATTGAATAACAATTCTTTTTATTTCAGCGAACAAAAAGTGTTAGGCAGGGCTTCAAGGGGAAAAAATGGGTGAAATTCTTGGGGCGGCAGCACCAATTAACCCTCTAGATGTATTTTAATGTCACACAAATAACGTTTTCGTTAATAACGGCGTTTTTCAGGCACCTATTAGACGTTATTGGTGAAAGTCTACTGTACTGTACTTTACTGATGAGATAACCTGAGACGATTAATGTCCGTACAGCAGACACCCAACTCTTCAGAGGGAGCTAAGCAGCAACCATTTCTGAACTCTTACAAGCATTACAATCCATTAATGCCATACCTGCAAAATTTTTTGTAAATCTACAAATACTTGATACAAATAAATATTTACAGATAAACTTCCTTTTCACATTTGCGTGTTAACATCGCTGGCGACTTTATATTTACTGGTTTGGCAATACAGCATTTTTTTTTTAACTTATTTATTGGTATTATTTTTATTTATTCCTCACATTTACTGGTACTGTATATATTATTTTAAGAAAACTACACTATTGCTACAGGAGGAAAATCTACAAAGTTTTTTCCTAAATACTTCCTGCTAAAATGGGGGGTGTGCATCTTATATGCCATAAAATATGGTAATACCCAAATAAAAGTTATTTGAGTCTGCTTATATAATTAGGGATGAGGGGATAATAACAGAAATATTAATGGGCAAAAGTGAGGGTAGGAGGACCAGGGCAAGGTAGAGACCGGGATGGATAAATGAAATTAAAAACTGGGTGGTACTCTGATTTATTGATAAAGTATAAGCTGCCTGTGCTATTAGCAAGGGTGAATACAGAGGCCAATTTGATGTCTTTTCTTGGATCTTAACAAAACAACATTAGATAACTTAAAACAGCTATTATGTTGATGAGTGGACACCAGAGGAACTTTTTTTTGCCAAATAAAACACTGTTTTCTTTTATTACAATGTTCCTGGACTTAATTTCCCATTCTAATGAATATAACTATTAGAAAAACTATTTCTTAATCCCCAAACTGTCAACAGAGTCTTGCCATCTTCCTCTTGTGGAAGGTCCTTGTACTGGCTCTGTCCCATCTTGGTATCATGACTCCGCAAGTGGAAGCTGTAAACCGTTTGTATATGGAGGATGCTTGGGTAACAATAACCGCTATGGCTCCAAGGAAGAGTGTGAAGAAATGTGCGTCATCCCAGAAAAAACAGGTACACATATTTTATTTATTTTTCCTCTTTTAACTTTTGATGTACAGTAAATTAAATTTGAAGTGTGGTATCATTTATTCATGAAAAAGTTTTTTTTTTTCAGAATAGTTTCAATATTTACTTATATGAATTTTCAAATAAAATCATTGCGCTAATAATGCTCTGTAGTTCACCATGATGCTGTCCTATTGTTGTAAGTTATTATGAAGGAAAAGGGTGTGGTAGCCAAATGGATATGGCACCTGCATCCTGACCCAATGGTCACTAGTTTGACTCCAACAGGTATCACTGAGTGAAGTGTTCCCAGTTGGGGAGTGAAAGGTAATAGACCTGCCAAAGGCAGGTCATTTGGAATGTTGGACCAGCATTCACTTTTTTTTAGAAAATCCAGCATCATCGTTGGTTGTGCTTTGCTTCAGTTTATTTTTTATTTTATGACATTTACTAAACTATATTCTTTCCTGTGCACTTTATTAAATAAAGTTGTAACTTTAAATTTCTCTTTATAAACATAGTAGAGCTTAACCTCATTTAGTAAATTTATTGCTGAGTGATAAATTTATTGCTGACCGAGCTTGAACTTGCTTGGGAGTATGAAACAGGGAAGTAAAGGTAATGAGTGTAAGATATTCCTTGGTACATGAAAGCTATTGTTCTTAAACACTACCTAATAACTGACTTGCAGCTTATCCTTTTAAATAACTTCTTGCACTCAGCCTTAATGTTTTATATTTAGAAATAGAAAATAACTATTAACTCAGAAACTGACTGTGAAGATAATATTATTTTTTTATTTGGTTAAATAAACAGAGTAATCCCATAAAAAGCAGGGTAATAGTAGTGATTGCTTTGACAAATTGCTTTCGTACTTAATGCTTTATGTTTTAGCATTTATTAATATACAACATTAAGTGTTCTTCTATGTGAACATTTATAGGCATGAGTTAGTCTCTCTACAAGTGACAAGTACAATGTATAGAAAGAATCCTCGTTTTTACACACACACACACACACACACACACACACACACACACACACACACACACACACATATACACACACACTCACACACGTCTATGTTATAAATTATGGTTACAGTTATCTCATATCTGGTTAAATTACCTCTATGAGAGCTTGAAAAGAGACACATTAAACTGTTTTCCCTCCATCTCTTCACCTGGGTTGAGTTACTGACTTGAAACTTTCAATTCATTGCAAAATTGAGAAAAAGAATGTTGATACTGTTCAGTAGGAGTTACATGGTCATGTTCCTACTTTTGGCGTGAGTGGCTGCAGACGTTTGTCTACTGGAGGTGATGCCTGGTCCCTGCCGTGGAAACTACACCAGATGGTTCTATGATCAGACTCTGGGAATCTGCAGCCAATTTGCATTTGGTGGCTGCAAAGGAAATGGAAACAACTTCCTCACAGAGAATGAGTGCATGCAGAGCTGTATCCGGGGTCGCTCCAAAGGTCAGGACACTGCTGCTATGGGGTAGACTCTAGTGGTATGGTGGTAGTGATATGCAGTTTTTTAATATATTGGATTATAAATACTGAAGATGATTCTTTTTACATTTATGCAGTAATAAATAAATAAATTAATATATATATATATATATATATATATATATATATATATATATATATATATATATATATATATATATATATATATATATATATATATATATATATATATATATATATATATATATATTATACTAATAATAATACAGGTATTTAACATTTGTTGATTAATAGTACGAAGAGAAACTGCACTAATATATTTTAACTGCATTTTGGTTTGTTTCAAATTGAGCTATTTATCAATTACAGCTTGGACATTTAATACTGTATACATTTGTTGACTTATTAACCATATTGAAGCATGGTCCTCTGGAGCCTTGTAATATTTATTACATCTTTAACGTAGAGCATGAATAATCTTTGCATAACCATTTAAATAAGTGTAGAGCCTTCTTATATAATACAATAACTAATTTTCTTCATCTTACCATACAGATACCTCTGTCTCATTAGTGTCTTTAGAAGAATAGTAATTTGAGTTACCCTTCACATGGTATGTTTCTTTCATCTACCTCTTAAGCTTCACATGAATCAGAGGTATGTATATTTATATCGGTTAATTACACATCATTATTTGGTCAATTTGTTTTAAGACAAAATGATTTTTAATATTAATATTTTTTATTGACTTGTTATTCACATTTGACAGAGGTAAATGTGTGGTGACAAAACATTATGTAGTTTAGTTGCTAATCTTTTTCTTAACGGTGGTTGGACTAACAGGCCTGTGCACCCTGCCCAAGGCTTCAGGGCTCTGTGAAGAAACTCTTCCCCGTTGGTACTATGATTACTCCGAGACCAGATGCATGCCTTTCTATTACACTGGTTGTGATGGAAATTCGAACAGGTTTATTACACGCGGGGAATGTGAGGCTACATGTCCAGGGGACATAACAGGTAATCATTAATTTCATGATTCTAAAGAATACAAGGTATCAATCCCAGATTGTTAATTGTTGATG